GGCGGCGGCCTGACCGCCCCCTCCGCTGCCCTCTCCCCTCAGGAGGCCGACGGCACGCTGGACTGCATCAGCATGGCCCTGACCTGCACCTTCAACCGCTGGGGCACGCTGCTCGCCGTGGGCTGCAACGACGGGCGCATCGTCATCTGGGACTTCCTGACCAGGGGCATCGCCAAAATCATCAGCGCTCACATCCACCCCGTCTGCTCGCTGTGGTGAGAAAAGGCTCGGGGTTTGTTGCTGTTTTTTTTTTTTTTTCTCCCCGCACAACAGCCGAATTCGGCGTTTGGCTGTAACTGAGCTCGTAGCCGACGCGCTGGGTACGAAAGGCTGTTCTCATTTTTGTTAGAATTTGTCCACGCCTGCGTTTGCTGAGCGTCGGGCGCTCCGATACCCTGGCAGCTCTCGACGCCTGGCCGTGTTGGTTGCTGAAATGGCAGCCCGTTGCGGGGTACTTGGTTGCGTTTTAGGGTAGTTTCCTTTAAGAGAGTTTGGAAACGCGTTACGCCTGTGAAGTTTTTGAGTGTTAGTTTATTTTTCAGGCTAACAGATTTATATCTGAGCTCGATAAGTCGGCCTGATAATTTTAAACCCTGGGTGTATGTTTTACGCGTTTAAGGAGTAACTTTCAGTTGAACTGCCTCTCGTTACTGTAGCTGGAGTCGAGACGGTCACAAACTGGTGAGTGCCTCGACCGATAACATCGTGTCGCAGTGGGATGTGCTCTCTGGAGACTGCGACCAGAGATTTCGATTTCCTTCGCCTATCTTGAAAGTTCAGTACCACCCGCGAGACCAGTAAGTCCCGTGTGAAAAGGGTCGAATGCTCTCGTTTTGGTAGAACTGCTCTGGCTTTGGTAGAACTAACGATTGTTAAAATGCTTTTATTGCAGTTTGCAAAGTGATTTTTTCCGAACCTAGTAGACGCCGTCAGTGTATCTTCTTTTTGTGATCAGAACCCTAACTGGATTTGTAGTGGCTCTTTTTATTATGAAAATGTCGGGAAGGGAGGAGAGTAAACAAGGGAATAATTCTTAGAAACGTGTATAGGACTGTCTCTTTGAGTTTACAAGTTACTGCGTAAACTTGGAGAGGCTTCCAGAAAAAGAAAGGAAGTGAAAGTAGACACCGGCTTAATGTGATTTTGTGATTTTTAAAGTAACAAAGATGAAAGAAGATGATAAAAATACAGGGGTATTCTATATTTCTTGATACGGGTTGAGATTTTTTTTCTACTTCTAAATGTGGAAACTTCTTTTCCAGAGAAGAAACTGTTGACTCTTCTTGTTCTGCTTTGCAGAAACAGAGTTTTGGTTTGTCCCATGAAGTCGGCGCCGGTGATGCTAACGCTGTCAGACTCCAAACATGTTGTCCTGCCTGTGGATGATGACTCTGATCTCAATGTCGTGGCCTCCTTTGACAGGCGAGGGGAATACATTTATACGGGCAATGCCAAGGGGAAGGTGAGACTGTAGCAGGCGGCGCTGGGTGCAGTAGCTTAGATCGCTTCCTGTCTTTATCAAGACGCTTAACGTTTCTGGGTTGCGTTCTTTGTTTTAATACACAAATAAGGCTTCTGGAATGTCTCTTGAATAATTGATATCGCGCTGATACGATCTTCTGAATAAAGCATCACGCTTTGTCTTTGAAGATCTCTAGACTATGATACTTTGTCTGAGTTAGGTCTCTGTGTTGCTGTTGTCTTTGACCGTGTTTGTTGGATCCTTTTCCAGTGTAAATAAACCAATGTTTATGTCGCAGAACTGTCGCAGAAACTGTAGTAGAAACTGCAGTTGCAGAATCCCAACTATTCCTGTGTAGATTGCTGAGGCTTCTGTTGTCAGGGTTAGTAGCTGATGTGAAAGGTACCGAAAGGGGAGTGAGTTGTTACGAAGACACTGATTGCCTTCTGTCTCCTTCATCTTCAGATCTTGGTCTTAAAAACAGACACTCAGGATCTAGTTGCTTCCTTCAGAGTGACGACTGGAACCAGCAACACCACAGCTATTAAATCGATTGAATTTGCTCGGAAAGGCAGGTGAGTTACTTCCTCTATCAGGTGGTATCTTTAAAGATGAATTGAAAGCTCTAGGGTAGATTGACAGAGCATACAAGGTCTTAAACCCCCCCCTTCTTTCATGGAACATACTCTAATTCTTTTTATTTTTTTAGTCTTCTAACGCAATGCATGTTCTGTGCCCTCTTTCCTACAGCTGCTTTTTAATAAACACAGCTGACCGGATAATCAGGGTGTACGATGGCCGTGAAATTCTAACTTGTGGACGAGATGGGGAGCCTGAACCGATGCAGAAGCTGCAGGATTTGGTGAACAGGTAAGAGGCAGCAGAATGGCTGGTCAGCCTGGCTTGAAAAGGTGAGGTTTGTGTGCTCTGCACTAACTGAGTCTCAGGGCTCAGTGTCTTATTCAGTGTAACGGACAGATGCTTTCATATGAAACCTGTCTGGCACAACCTGAAGTGTAAATATTATTTGTGAATGGGAGCGTGCAAGATCCCAGTCTGAAGAACAAGCCCACTCCTCCGTCCTCCGTGTTGTGCCGTTGTTTAACTGTTTAGCTTGCGATGTTGTTTTTGCACGCAGGACACCGTGGAAGAAGTGCTGTTTCTCTGGTGATGGTGAATATATAGTGGCAGGTTCAGCACGACAGCATGCCCTGTACATTTGGGAGAAGAGTATCGGAAACCTAGTGAAAATCCTCCACGGGACCAGAGGAGAGCTGCTCTTGGATGTAGCAGTAAGAAAACTGTCTGCTATTACAATGTTTCTTGTTATTTCGAAAACTAAGCTTTCTTAATTCCATTTACCAATTAAGTTTCTCCTCTTTTCCCTTTCAAATAAATCTAGTGGCATCCTGTCCGACCGATCATAGCTTCTATTTCAAGCGGTGTTGTGTCAATATGGGCTCAGAATCAAGTGGTAAGCGTTTTAGGTCATTTCCTTAAGAGGATTCCCCAGTGGTCTCCATACTAGTAGGGTGAATTACTGCATGTTGAAATCCTTTGTTAAATCCCAATTCGACAGGCTCGTTAGGTTCACCCGTCTAACTTGAAATATGTTTGCCATCTTGTTGAATGTGAGGAGGGTACTCGCGCTTCAGGGGCTGAACTAGTTAAGCTTTGCATTAAAGTCTTAAGTATCATCGCAGGGACACTTTACGTGTGTCCTGACTGTGTCGTGTCAGTGCAGGAAATCTGTGTGAGTGAGCCAAAACGTAGGTGGCTAAACATGAACGTACAGCTCTGGGTGTAGCGGTAATTATTACATACGGTGCAATATTTAAGGACTATTACGATGTCATATTTTCAGTAGGAACTAATTTGTGCAGTTTGTAATTTGCCACATGACTGTGGACCCGAACGAGGCTTGATTTTTATGATCCCGCGCGTGGCTTGGGGGATTTTAATGCAGAATGAGATTGTAATCACATGAGTCCTCACTACGGCTGCTGTTCCTTTGCCTGAGGTAAAAATTGTTTTGAATTTGTGGTTTAGGAAAACTGGAGTGCCTTTGCGCCTGACTTCAAAGAGCTGGATGAAAATGTAGAATATGAAGAGAGAGAGTCGGAGTTTGACATTGAAGATGAAGATAAGAGTGAACCAGAACAGACAGGTACTGCATAAACTGTGTTTCTATGTAGCAAATAGTTCGTATTCTGAATACGTGAGCGTAGCAAAAATTAAAACTAGTGGTCACGGTAGTACACGTGGGCGTTAAATGACAAAACAGGAGTGGAATAAATGAAAATGTATGAACTAGCACAATCAGTA